GCAAGGATGCTGTCTGCTCAAGCCTACTCCCAGTTTGACCCTTGGATGTAAGAACCAAGTCATTACATGTTAAATTGAAATTTTCTGCCTTAAGAGTGAATGTCCGAAGTAAAATATTGGATGCAGTATATAAATGATCCAAGGCAGTGACTTCAGCTTTAGATATTAGTTTTAAGGTTATTTTCATTTATTTAAACTTCTAGATTGGATTATTTGTTATTACCCTCTGTGATGATACGTATCTTTTAGTAAACTACATTTTTAACTTTTCTGTAAGCTGATTTCCATTTGTTTTTATCAATTTAAGCACACCCTGTCAATAGGGAAAATAAACCTTGGGTTATAAACATTGGCCTGAGGAAAATTAAGCCACTTTATTCTTTTTGACTATTCTATTTCCACCAAGAGAAAAAGCCTTTACAAATTAACTCTTAAGTTCTTTAGAGGGTAGAGCCCGTGCTTTAAGAAATGTGAGGGAAGGAGTTGATGGTCTTTATGAAATGTTGACTTGGTTCAGGTCTAAAAATGAGACTTAAGACAAAGCACTAGGGTTGTAGCAGTCTAAATTGTTCACCAAAAGAAGAGTCCTAGCACCAAGAGCCAAATTAGTGGGAAGTACTTTGATGCATTTGGCCTAGAATATTTTAGTAATATGGATTATAGTTTTCTCTAATCCATTCAGATAAACATGTTTTAAATGTGGGCTGCTGGTCCAAAGGAATGGCCCTTGGTTAAATGAACACTTCTTGAATAGCTAGGCATGTCTGATCGTTGCTTATCCACAATTCAAGTTAACATGAAATGATTTTGTTTTGTTGTATTTACTGTCATCTGCAACATTTGGAATTTAAGAATAGTTCAAAGAGTATTAGAAATACTGGCCTATGGCCAGTTATCACACTAAACATTATACGATAAAGTTCTGGATGTGTAGCTGGCATGCTAGTGTGTGCCTATATTCTCAGCATTTGCGAGACTAAAGCAGGAGGATCACTGCAAGTTGAAGGCCACCCTGGAATACCAGACCTTGTCTCAAAAAAAAAGGACCACTGTGTTTCCTCTTGCATGGTTGGCCCACCTGTACACCGTAGGCTATACTTCTTTTCTATTTTTACTTGGCCCAAACTTGCTCTGCAGAGCCTGTTTCTTTTCCTACCTTTAATAAAACCTTGCTACTATTATGACCAAAAACAAATTCTGGACATACGATTCCTTGCAATCTAATTGTACTTGAGGTTAAGCAAAAAAGCAGTGTCTTTAGAAAATCTCATTCAAGTCAGGTCCTTCTTCAGTTTAAATTAAGAATGAATTTAATCAGCACTTAACTTGCTTTTCCTTGCCCTGCCAAGAAAAGAATCTTGTTCTTAACCTGATCTTTGCTTTAAAAAAAAAAAATCATACAAAAATCTGGTCATAGCATGCATATGATCAATAGAATCAGATGCATTTTTTTATTATAACCAAGTGAAACATTTTTCCTGGTGGGTTTAAACAGTTAATATTCTTACTAGAAGGGCAAAAGTTTCTGCTGTTTGTTTCTAATGGCCCTTGGGGTTGTTTGTTTCTGTTTTTGTCTTTTTCCCCTAAGAAGGGGCATCAGCTTTGGAAAGTGTGACTTGTGGGATTGTGGAAGGTGGTGGCACGTCTTCCAGTGCCGCCTCTTGCTGCCTGAACTCCAGCTACTATTGCTCTGACTCACAGCAATAGCGCAAGTTACCCATCACCAGCATTTGTACAGAGCAGGGAATTCTGGTTTTAGTCAGTTGATAACATTGTTTGTATGAGGAGATTCAGCACCACAGACAGCTGCAGGACTCTGTTTCCATGGCTTCTTCCATCACAAAACGGGTAGAAACACATTCACTGCTTCAGGGTTCTAATCTGTGTGTCTTCTTACGGCTCCATATCTGTAAGATACCCTGTGAATTTGATACATGCTGTATTTCTTTGAAAAGTTGAGTTTTATTCAGCAAGTTGGCCATACTGCCATTATACCCTCTTTTTGGTGTAGTTTGAGAGTACAGCTCAGTAGTGAGTCTTTCATTGACTACTCAGCCCGTACACATACATACATCTTCACTGCCCAAAGGTGTTAGAGCTGTCAGAGTCTTCATAGACCTGAGGATAATTTCTTGTGAAGTTGAATGCAAGTGTACTGTCATTCATAGTGTTTATATAAAAATACCAGGAATCTTCACTTTTGCTACCTTGATATAGCATTGGGCTATCATGTTAAAAACATTGATATACATCAATTTATTAAAAAATACTTTTGTAAGAAATGTTTTATAGTGCTTTCTGACCTCCAGGAGACTGCTGTCGTATATTGGGGTGGGGGTAAGGGAGGGGAAGGTTATGACCAGAGCCTCTCCGTCACACCTTCCTCTTACAGCCACTGGCACACTTACTGTTCTCCTGTATGCTGAGGTCCATGGGCCAGCACCTTCACTGCCAGAGAGCACGTAGCACTCCTGTGTGAAAGCAGCAGGTGCCAACCCAGGCTAGTGGAGAATGGAGACAAAGCAGGTACCCCAGAACAGATTCTCCTGAGAGCAAGGTAAACCTACAGAGGAATAGCCCCACCCCACCCACACACTCCCACATCTCTCAGCACCAGTCAGGTTAGCCTGATTGACTGGGCTCTTCATTTCCCATGAACCTGTTCTGTGTGGCACCTCCAACCGGAAGCTTCCCTTTTTTCCACTGCTCTTTGTATTCCTAGCAGGATGATATTTCCATCCACTAATTTAAAAACTTCTCTTGAAATAAGTATTATTAAATAGGTGAGTAATGTCCTCAGTGGTCTACCATTGCCTATCCACCTTGCTGAATGAGAATATAACTCATCTCTCACCTGAAGAACAAAAACCAAGGAATGCCCCCACCCATAATCTAGTTCTTGGTAGACAGTAGTAAGGAAGTTGCCACCTCAGACCTGGTAAAGCAACTTCAAGGTCTTGCCTATAGAAAGATTGCCAGGGGCTGGGGTGGTAGATCAGCGGTCTAGGCACGTGCCTGGCAAGATACGGACCTGAGTTCAATTCCTGGTACTGCATGTCGTACTAGCCCCAAAACCAGGCACGATGGTGCACACCTGTAAGTAATCCCAGCACTGGGGAGACTGAGACAGGAGGGTCACTATGAGTCCAAACTACATACCTAGACTCTACCAATAAATTAATTTTTTTTTTTTAAGTGCCAGTTTGTTGGAAAACACTGGAGGTTTTGGTTTTGTTTCATTATCTGTCCTGAAGTTCCATCAGACTGCTATTAGCCTGGCTCTACCTTTACAGAAGTCTGTGCTACTGAGGATTAATGGCTTGCTATACTTTCCAAGAGGTACATCAGTGCCAAGCAACTAATTTCCTTATGGGTTTGAAAATTCAGACAGTTGTTGAGCCTGGTCAGACTTCCCTTTAATGTGCTCCCCAAAGGGAAAGTCCTCCCAAAAAGAATCACATCTTGAACCTACATTGAGAAGTTTTCTTTCTGTCAAGGCCAAAAGCTGAACAAATCTCAAGAGGTTTCTTCACTACAGAGTCAAGGAAGCATTTGTTTTCAGAGGTAAGATGAGCCCAGCCATGCTACCATGCCCTGGTCTGAGACAGTTTCATGAATGGTCCTGTTGAAAACACTGACAGGGTGGGAAAGCCACTGTGCTGAGCCTGTCACACCTGACCAGCTGCCCTGGAGCAGTTGCCTAAGGCATTGTACACTCCTTGCCCCTGGGTGGGCTTCATGCTTAGAGAAGCCTTGGATGCCACTCTGTCATGTGCCAGACTTGCAGATGGTCTGTGGCCTGTAGTACATGAACAAGCTACAGGTACTTCTGCTGCCCCAGCCGTACGTCACCTTGTCCTCAGTCCTCAGTCTCCAGTGTATCAAGCCAGGCTCCTTCAGGTAACTCCTGTTTTACTGTACATGGCA